GTTCCAGGTTGACAACAATGAATTTGAGGGTTTTTAACAAAATTCTTAGTTTTAGCTTTTAGTATAATAAGAATTAATACATATATAAATAACCTACATAAACTAAAGGTCTTTGAAATCCCCCAAAATGATTTTAAAAGCTTGTTTTAGGACCAAAACATTTTGAGAACCATTTGACTTAAAAGCAGTAAAAAAAAAAGATGAAAATAACAATTTTTTTAAGGTGTCGTTGAGGGACTCTTAGCAGACCTATCTATCAACAGTGGAGCTGAACTTGACCTTACTCTGTGCCATCCTCATCATCTCTGATACACTTGAGCCCAGTGTTACAGACTGTGTCAATCCATTCTGTTGAGAGTCTTCCACCTTCCAAATAGAAATTCCTTTTTCAATGACTGGCCCTTTGTAACAAGATTCCCAAAATACATTAGATGAAGCATCAACATCTTTTCTGGTTGAACTTTCTCCAAGACATACGTGTTTGTTTTTTTTGTCAGTCTATGAGCTTTTCAACACTACAAGTCAACAGCATCAATTGTTCTGTTATCTTTTGTCATTATCCAATTTTTAGATTCCTAACAAGTACTTGAAAAGACCAAAGCTTGAATCAGATGCATCTTACTCAAAACTGACGTCACTGTTCTGTAACGCCTTAAAATGGCAGTAGAGATAAGAAAATTGATTTAGAACTATGATAGCTACTGAGAGTTGAGTTGTGGGCTTAGAGCTAAATAGTGATAAGATAAAAGAAAATAGCCTAATTCAGGAGACAATCTTGAAGGAAAGCATGGCCAGAGTTGGGGATGATTTCAGTATACCAGTGAATAAGATAAAAGTTTACAAATAACTTCTTAATTTTTCAGTCTAGAAGCCAGTTGCGAACAGAAGCAGAAAGACACTTGCTCCTCTATAAAGTTACCTTTGAAGATTTAAAGAAAGAGTAGTGACAGCAGGGAAGAAATACCAAAGTAGCTGACACAGCCTTGCTTGCTTAAACTGAGACAGACATGAAGCGCTTGCTGCAGAAGGTCAAGGACTGTAGTCTTCAATATGGATTGAAGCTCAACATCAAGAAGACAGAGTCTCTCCGCTGGGCTAATTGGCAGCACGTGATGGATAGAGAAAAGATTGAGGTTGTTAACAATTACAGCTTGCTGGCTGTACGGTCAACACTCTTGGCACCAACAGTAAGGAAATCAAAGGCTAATTGTATTAGGTAAATCTGCTGTCAGGGACCTTTCCAGAGTGTTGAGAAGCAACAATGTCAGTTAGAAACTAAGGTGTTTTAAAAAAAAAAAAAGAAAAGAAAAAGAAAGAAACTAAGGTGCTCCTGATCCAGTCCATGGTCTTAGCATTTACTTGTTATGCATCAGAGAGATGGACAATGACTAAGGATTATGGAAGAAGAATTGATGCCTTTGAGTTGTGGTGCTGAAAAAGAGTATTGAACATTCCATGGACTCCACAAAAACAAGTAAATCTGCCTTGAAGAGGGTGAAACCAAGTTTCTCCTAGGAGGGTAGCGTTTTGAAGCTCCATCTCACATACTTTGGTCACGAGGCCAGGAGGGACCAATCCTTGGAGAGGGACATTGTGCTTGGAAGAGTGGAGGGACAGCGCAGGAGAGGAAGACCCCAGGTGAGATGTGCAACGGGGATAGGTGTGTCAAAGTCAATGAGACTGGCTCAAGAGAGCACAGTCCTCAGAGCTGTTGTACTTAGGGTCACTATGAGTCACAGGCAACTCAACGGCACATAACAACAAACTTGTAAATAGATGTCAGGGAAACAAGATATTCACTAAGAAACAGGTCATAGATAGGTACAAGCAGGGGAAGGGCATGTCTCACTGAACAGATTTGAGAAGTATGAGGCAGCTTTGGTGACCTAGCGGTATGGAATTCCACTACTAAGCCAAAGGCATGTGTTTTAATCATCCTGCTGTTCCACGGGAGAAGGATGGACAGCCTTCTCCTGTGCAAGTTATTGTCTCTGAAAAACTAGTGGGTTAGCTGTGGGCCAGTTCCAACTAATGGTACACAACTAACAACAACAACATCAGCAGCATAGTAAATATCACTTTGAACCTGCAAAAACCAGAAATGAAATACTAGGGAGGAAGTGTGGAGTATTGGTGTTAAAGGTGATACAAGTAATGACCACTTTGATACAACACCCTACAACTTACTGTCTCTGATCCTCACAGCACCTATGAGAAGTTGGTTTTGATTGCCTTATGAGAAAATAGGAGTTCAGAGAGGTAATCCAGGATAAGGGCAGCTTTTGTGTGAAAAATACTCCTTCAGAAATGGTCGGTAAAGGTGATTATAAGGGTAACATTATGTTTGAAGTTAAGATGGCAATAACTGTGGTTTTTTTTTCTAGATTGTAGTTCAGTATTTGTGCCGTGGTCCGTCAGGCTCCGAATTACTAGTGAACAGGGCAGGAAGGAAGCAAGCCAAGAAATTCTGAAATTCTCTTTACCTCTTCTCATGTGATTAGCCTTCCACAGTGCGAGCAATACCAAGGATTCCAGGGAAACTTTATTTGGAGCAACCTGCTTAATGAATTCCTAGGGAATGTGTAGCTAATTACTTTCTCACATCCAAACACAGCATCATAAATATTTGAATATTTTTAAAATAGATATTTTTAAATTTTTAAATACAAAAAGTTGGTAAGCTATGAAATCTTTCTTCTCCTCCAGCTCCTATCCAAACTGAAAATAGATCCTTTGTTTAGAAGGATTAGAATTTGGTTTGGAAATCCATTAGGATTTGATTTGGAAATCCATTTGAATGAATAATTAGATTAAAGAAAAATCACATGTGGCTGTTAAAAGCTTAAGTTTGGTGGACAATATGGAAATAGAAAAGCATTTCTGTTTCAGGGTCATCATGTATCAACATGAGTTCCCAAGCATATCATCTTGTGTAGAATGGTGCCGTCTCTTCACACAAGAGTCCTGCCACAGTGCAGTAGTTCTGTGAGAGAAGGCTCTGGACATTTGGGGGAGAAAAGATGTGGATGACCTGATGTGAGTTAAGCAAAGCAATCAAATGTTCTAGAAGAAGGAATAACATGAAAAGATAGCTGGGAAATCTTAGAGAAAAATAGACTTGTGAAGGCTTAATGGATGCAATATCTTCGTTGGCCTTCTGAGAAAGGAGCTTCACTGTCAACACCAAAAGGCAGGGGGTTTGAATGTGCTAGCTACTCCACGGGAGAATGAGGAATAGTCTCCCATTGTGCAATTTGCAGCCTTTGAAACCCTCTGGAGAGTCCACTATAACTCAGTAGTGATGAAAATGAGAGAGAGTGGATGCAAAATTGTAATAAAGAATGCTTGCTTCACTTCCTAGAAGATGCTATGTTTCTTTTAAGACTGATGGAAAAATTCAGTAATGGTGATTGTTGAATAACATGATAAATGGTAGATAGAAAGATTGTTGACATAGTAAGGATTTTGTTTCTTACATGTTTACTATCTCCATCATCACGCATTCACACTTTGCTTATTAGTCCCAAAGCTGGATCTGAATTTGGAACTTGGCCAAATGGAATAGTTAGACAAACAGTTAATTGTGAATTTGGGTATCTTTTAATCAGCTATTAAACATGGAATTTGCCACTGTCTCCTCCCTAGTGATTAACAACCTCTGAAAACGTGCTGGAGGCAGCTATGATTTCTACCTTAGTGGTACACACCAACAACTTCAGCTTCTCTAAAGAGGACAAGGTTGGGTAACTAGTGATCTTCGGGCTCTTTTCATATGTGTGTCAGTGGAAGCTGTGCTGAATGTGGGGTGTCTGGATGCGGCGTGGTGGCAGCAGTAACTTTGCTGAGGATGTTAACTTTTCAGGAGCCCCTCGGAGTGCCAGGCCTTCATGTGGCCTTGTTTACCGTCAGGGTAGATGTTGTGGCAGCCAGGCTTGTGCAGCTGCTCTCAGCCTCCACAGCAGCTGCCAGCTGGGAGTGGTTGCTGGCTCTTTCCCCAGAGTGTTTCAGGTTCAACCAGAAGCTAGGCATTCTGGGACTCAGCCACAATTAGGTAGCCATACTACAGAGATTGTTTCGAAAGGAAAAGGGGGTGTGGAGAAGAGAAACTGCCGAGTTCTGCCCCCTCACCTACTTCTTCTCCTTCCCATATGTATCCTGTTCTCTCCCTCTCGCCCAGCTGCCACCCAAGATAAAGCAGCTGCCCTGCCTGAGCCTGGGTAGGGCTTGGGGCAAGGGAGGAGGGTGGGATGGAGGGAGGGTGCCCACTGATCCTGTTCTGAAATGGTTCAGCCCTTGGGTGTGCCTGGGCAGTGCTGATTTGATTTGGTTCCTGCCTGCCTTTCCCAGATGCACCTTGAGAATCAAAATGTGGTTTGAAGTCCCTGGTGGGAAAAGGCCTTCGGTTGAGTGGCTTTGTGGGTATGATGGACCTACACTGGGTGGCTCTCTTCCTCCTTTCTGACTTGGCGCTATTATCCTTTCATGGTACGAGTTTAACTCAAATGATCCGGAAGCATCAGGGCTCTCACCTTGACATAGTCAGGTGTTTCCCCAGCAGTTCTCTAGAGCAAGTAAAAACCATGCAGGCTGGTCAAGAACTCTTGTATTTCCAAACATTAGTAATATTTGGAAGCAAACAAGGGGTGAGTTGCCTTTCCTTCCTTCAAATACCAGTGCCATCCTGGGAGCATGGTAAAACAGTGTGTCTAGTTTTTCACATGACATGAAAATAGGAATTGCCATCAGATAATGGCACTGTACTTTCCTGATTTAGGTAAAATATTTCACTCTTGGTACTTGGAGTTTCTGCTTTATTTTCTTAGCCAGACACAGCTTCTTAATTAGAATGTACTGCTAGAGGACAGGCAGTATTGTCAAACTTTGTGTGTTTTATGGGAATACACAAAAGCACAAGACAAGCAGCTGTAGTGCCAACTTGTCTAGATGTAATATGGAATTCCCCAGGGTGTCATCTTCATTGTTTTCTTTCTTTGTTCCAGAAACTAAGGCTGATGATGAACCGGGCTGTTCACCTGCTGCCCAAGAACTGTTGACAAGGCTGGGATTTTTGCTGGGAGAAGGAATCCCAAGTGCCACACATATAACCATTGAAGAAAAAAATGAAGCCATGGTAATGTCTGAGGCAGAGAGGCTACTGCATTCCATACCTGCCCAGAGGATGAAGGAAGTGCCAGCCCTCTTCCATCTCCTTCCTCCTTGAGTGGTGCAAGCATTGTTCAGTCAGATGAGTTCTGGACTGCTGTGTATTGAAATTTATTGACATTTGTTTCTGGGCTTTTGCATTAGGGAGGTGCAGAAGAGTAGAATGGAGCAGAATTCAAGAAAATGCTCACATTAACCTTGTCACTACCCAGGAATAGTGGTAAAATGAATTGCAGCAGTTAAAAAAAATTAAATAAAAATTTCATTACTTCCCTTTATTTAACTGTTCTTTTCAGCTGGCTGCCCTGGGATGTGCTTTCTTAGCTGTTGAAATTTTGGAGGGTCACTGGGGTGAGGAAGGGGTTTGTAGGGGAGGAGGCTGAGATGATCCTTATCACATGGGAGAGCAAGCCCCCTGCCGAGGATATGCACCTCAGCCATCTCTGCCTCAGCTCAGGTGTGTGTATTTGAATAACAATGAGAGGCTGGTGCATCTGCCCCCTGGAGGGACTCTGTGAGGGTTCCCTCCATTGACTCAGCTTGCAATGGCCATGGGCCTCCTTTCCCTGAGCACAGAGCCCATAAATCTTCAGGAATTGAATCAAGTTGCAGTCTTGTGACACATTACCAAAACAAGAGTTCACAGGTTTTCCGTTCAGAGGTCAAAGAACTCATTTGTCTTCTACAGAAGTTAAATGAAAGGAAGTCTGCCAGTTTGCCATTTCTCTTTTACAAACATGTATTTCCACTAAATTATTCCCTAAGACTTACCCTTTCCTTGAAAAAGCTGGGGGGAAAGAACAAAGGTTATTTCTCTTTTAAAATTTGGAAGGCTGTATGTATTTAAACTTCCTAGATTTTAAGGGCTCTCTTCCAGTTTCCTTTGTTTAGATTCATTGTTTTGGTGTCGAAGCGTCCTGTGTAAGCCTGGCTAACTCCCCATACCGTTGTCTCGCAGTGTACAGCTCCGAGCCAAGGCATCAGCCCCTGCTCCACGCTAACAAGCAGCACCGCATCTCCCAGCACCGATAGCCCCTGCTCAACCTTGAATAGCTGTGTCAGCAAGACAGCAGCCAACAAAAGTCCCTGTGAGACCATTAGCAGCCCTAGTTCCACCCTGGAAAGCAAGGACAGTGGAATTATAGGTAAGAAGCACGTTGCTTGGTAATGGAATGTCTCAGGGTACGGCAGCCCAAGTGTTAATGAGACACTTCTCGGAAACTGTTTGCAGAGTGGTCTATGAAGGTCACGATGCTGCTCCTGTCCTCTCCTCTTCTTGGGGGATAACACAGCTCTGTGTACAGCATCGGCTTTTAAATTTCTTGATGGCTATTTTACAGCTCTGTGTTTATTTGGTCTAATCTTTCCAGATCAAAGGTGCTCTATACAATTACAGTAACCTCTCTATTCATCAGTTAACTCCATTTGCTAGGGACAAGGTGCCACTGGGACATCTAGCAGGGGGATGTCATCCTGCATATAAGCACGTCTTCTAAAGGCAATCTCAGGATTGCATTGCAACAATTCTTTGATTTGCCTATGGCTTTGGGATCAGGATTTCCTAAGGACACCTTCTCTGTGTGCCCACATGCCCACAACTCCCTTACACAAGCGCAGTGTAAAGAAACATGGTGTCTAGTCCTGACTCTTAGGCTAGTTTGCCCCAGGCGACATGAGCACCATTTAGATCTACTTTTCTGCACACTCCCCACCCCTTTTCTCTGTACATATAAGGATTTGGACTATCAGTGCTTACCAGTCCCAGCTGTGTATTTAGATCATAGTCTAGATAGGTGCATCCAGGTTTCTGGAGGTGGGGCCTCTTTGTTTTCAGGCCTCCAGCTTGGCATTTTCCAGATAACAGCTTGTTCTCTGGGAGGTAACTTACCCTGGCTCTATACTTTTCTAGGTACTTAATTGTGAATGGTACTGAACATTCATCCTGTCCATTTTTGCTGAGTTATTCACCTGTCTTTGAAGGCTGTTTTGCATTTTATTATTGACTGAGATCCCATTTATATTACATACACACACACACACACACACACACACACTCCCCAAATGGAATGGTGTTCAAGAAAATAAGTTCTTTATTTTCTTCAGACACCTGCAATTTCTTCCCCCCTGTATCCATTTTTAATAAAAATTCCTTAAGGGAAGATTTACCACATTTCAGTGATTGCAAGCTTAGAAATTAGTTGTACAATTAGAATCCATTTAAGAACATATCTAAATAGAAGTGTAAGAAAATCCCAAAACATCTGAAGATTATATATAAACATATAAAAAAAATCAAAATTCAGTGTTGACATATGCTAGACATGAGAAATACATGCTAGACTTGGAAATAGATGCTAGACTTTGAAAATATATGCTAGACTTGGAAATATAAGCTAGACTTAGAAAGATATGCTAGACTTAGAAAATATATGCTAGACTTAGAAATATATGCTGGGCTTAGGTTAGAAGAGTTAGTCTTAGAATAAGAGTTACTTCTAGTTTCTCCTTTTTGAAGCTTTCCTCAAAATGGTGCACCTGCAATTTCTTTGAAGTGTAATTTGAAACACTAAATTGTAGGTTTATGTCTCAGAAGATGTATACAATTCCCAGGAAAGGGCCTGGACTTAGGTGTACTTCTTGCCATGGCTCTATGGAGGCCCTCCTTAAAAAAAGGAGATCTCTTTTTTGCATTTCACTCTGATCAGGATATTTAGTGGTCCTGAATTTTAATCAGTTTATTGTTGTGTACCATCGAGTCAGAACTGACTCATAGCTGATTCTCCAGTGGATTTTCAGAAGCAGTTAATTGCATAGGAGGAGATTGCCATTCCTTCTCCGGTGGAGTAGCTGGTGGATTCAAACCATGTACCTTCAGGATTGCTGTGCATCTTCTTACTACTAGGCCACCAGAAATCCCCTTAACCAATTTATTGAGATACAATTCATATGCTACAAGAGTCATTTAAACCCTGAATGACTTTTTTAATATATTCAGAGCTGCATAACCACAATTTCTGAACATTTCAGTGCTTCTCCCCTCCCCTGAAATCTGGCACCATTTTAATGTGTACAGTTCCCACTTTTAAAAGACTCCAGTTCCAGGTAACTAGTCATTTACTTTCTTCCTCTATAGATGAGCATATTCTGAACATTGCATATTAATAGTGTACTAGTTGGGTTTTTATTTTAATTTTTCACCCTTCGGTTTATTCCCTCCCCTAAATTTTATTTTGTTGTTGCCACTGTAAGGACCAATTCAACAGTTTCCACATGTATAGCTTAGTGACTTTGATTGCATTGCATTGTGCAATCATTTTCATTCTACCTGTGCTGTTAACATTAGTAACTCAGGGGACATTAACGTAAACTCACTGTCTTCTAAAGTTCCTATCTAATCCTTCAACTTGCTGTTACCAGCTTGATCCCATGTAAGTCATTCTTTTAATTATTCCCACCCTCCACCTTCACCACCACCACCAGCAAGCACTAAATTTTAAAGATACTTACTCCTCAGTGGATTAGAAAATGTACCACTGCATCTTTATGGAGGAGGACATCACATTGTTGGCCAGTTTAAAGAAAAAACTTAACATTTTTACATCTCAAACATCTTTATTTTATGCCTATTATACTACAGATTCACAGGCCACTTGATGGCACACAACAACATACTGTAGATTTGTAGAGAATAAGTTCCAGCAGCTCATACTCGTTCTCATGGGTTCTCAAAAAGCGTGTTTTCCTCTGGATCTTTGTGCCATCAAGTCAACCTCCAGCAGGTTTTCAGAGGCAGTAAATCACACAGAAGGAGCTTGTTCATCCTTCTCTTGCGGAAAAACTGAAGAATTTGAACCACACAGGCCTTCAACTTAACAGTACAGCTCCTTACCTAGAACCCCAGAGCTCTAGTTCTGAGCTCCTGGCAAAGGAGGCATTTGTTCATAGAAGTCATTAGCATACAATTTCCTATCTTCCCCTTACTCTCATCTCTTCTTCCAAGATGTCTGTAGGTGAATAGGACAGTTATGTTTTTGGTTGCTGCCTGGAGGTGTTGAGTAGAACCTAGGTACTACTCAATGAACTAGGAAGTAGACTAGAAGCACTAACCATATTAAGCCAATTAACTGGGACACTTAGAAAACCATAGCCTTAAATACAAGGAAACAAATCCTGTGAGGTATATGGTTGTACACAGGCTGCCTCAACAACTGCTTTTTTTTTTTTTTTTAGGTCATTGGTTTGAATATATTATTGCACAATTTATGATGGTTTAACTTTTAACAGATACATGATATGTAGAGAGCAATTACAGTAATTGGCTGTGCAGCACCATCCTTGATGTTATTTTTCTAAACTCTCTTTTCTTGCTTTCATTCTTGGTAATTACTAGTAAACTTTAGTCTCCGTGCATTTATCTTTTCTTAACTTTTTTTAATAAGTGAGGTTATAAAATATTTCTTCTACTGATTGACTTACTTTGTTTGCTCAGCATAACCTCTTCAAGCTCCATCCTTGCTACAGTGTTTATCAAGACTTTGTTTCTTCTACTTGTTTTGTAGTAGTCCTTTATATGTGTGGAGCATGTCTGTTCATCTGTTGAGGGGATACTGATTTTGGCAATTGTGCGTTAATCAATTTGCCATATGTACACAGGTATGGATTAAGCAATTAGCCATATATACAACTAGCTGTAGATTGTTCACTCCTTTGGGCTGTTGCGATTTAATGAAGACACGTACACAAGTACCTCTTTGCATCCCTGTTTAAAAGTCTTTTCTGGGGTATATACCTAGAAATAGAATGGTTTTATTATGGTAGTTGATTTTTGGGGAGGTTTTTTTTTTTTTTCGTTTTTGAGTTGTGTTTTTTTTTTCTTTTAACAGTCTGTCTTGTCATTTTCAACATTGGTTCTGCCACTTTGCATTCTCATCATCAAGAGATAAAGATTCTAATTCTCTTACATACTTGCCAACATTTATTATTTTGTGGTGTTTCCTTTTTGGTTTTATTTTCTTTTTAGCCATGTTGATAGGAGTGAGAGAGTGTCTCATTGTGATTTTTATTTGCATATCTCTGATGGTTAATGATACTGAGCAACTTTTCTTGTGTTTGGTATTTGAATGTCCTCTTTGGTAAAATAGCTAGTGAAATCTTGCTCATTTTATGATCAGATTTTTGTTGCTGTTACATTGTCAAAGTTCTGTGTACTTTGGTTATTAGATTCTTGTCAGATACATAGTTTCCAAAAATAGTCTCCCTGTTGGTAGCTTGTTTTTCATTTTTATTTATTTATAGTATTGTTTCTTTTAGCTCTTTCTATTTTCCATTAGTTCTTTAGCTATTGTAAAAGGAGCAAGGGCCCATGATGAAAGCAGAATCTGACCTCTACTAACTCCACAAAGGGAACTATCCCTGTCAACAGCAGAAAATCAACTCCCAAAAGGTCAGACATGTCCCTTACAATCCCACACCTCTTTCCACTAATTCTAGTGCCTATCTTACTGCTTTGCCGGGTTAGAAATCCATTTCAGTAGCTCACAGAGCACATGGAATTATACTCATGATTATTGAGTTTACTAGGGAATTTAATAGGCTACAATTTCAGTTGGCAGTAGGATGTAATTTCTCAGTCAGGACAGGTTCCAAGTGTGCTCACAGGCCTTTCAGCCTCATGGCTTTAGGCCACTGTTACAAAGCTCTTCGTGCTACGAGTTATGGCTCTCTTCCCCAGTCCTTTAGCAAACTTTGGCAAAGGCTCCCAGCTCAGGTTCTGTGGGGTAGCAGTCCCAAGGTCAGCTCTGTCTCATGTCAGGTTTCTGGATCTCTGTTGTGGTTGCTGGTACAGAAATCTCTGGTTTTGTAGGGTGTGCCACATTCTCTGCTTCTAGCCTCATGATGAGACTCTCAAATTATTTTGCTGAATCTACTCAATGAAATGACAAGGCTGGCCAGTCCCCTTGTAGATAGACTAACATGCCCTGTTCACATATCCCTGCCCATTCTCTTGTCAAAGTCAATGGCTAGGAATGCCGTTTGGAACAATAAACCCTGAGCATCTTGAATATGTTTCATATTGAATTACATTCTTCTGCATGTACGTTCACTCTATTTATCATGCTTACTTAGATGTGCCATTATTTCTTTG